ACACATATCCACTATTTTTTTTTTTTAACTTAAATCTGAATCTTTCATAAATTATATCAAACTTCTAATATTTACTCTTAGGCCCCTAGCCATAAACTTTTAATATAATATTATTTAATATAAAATAATTATTAAATAATCCTTATTTTTACAAACAAACCTTTTACTAAATTTTTAAAAATGGGAGATGTTACACTCTCCCCTCCTTAAAGAAAGATTTAGTCCTCTAAATTTATCATACCTCATTCGATGAAAAGATGAGGATATGCTTTTATCATTTCTTCCTCAAGCTCCCAAGTTGTTTCCTCTCCTGAATGATATCTCCAGATCACTTTAACTAGAGGGATAACCTGATTCCTCAAGATCTTTTCTTTTTTATAAACAATTTGAGTGGGCTCTTCCACATAAGACAAGTCTTTATCAATCACCATCAGTTTGAGGGTGATAAGCAGTGCTAAACTTGACTTTAGTGCCAATAGTTTCCTGTAACCTTCTCTAAAATCTAGATAGAAATCTGGAGTCTCTGTCAGAGATTATCTCCTTTGGAATACCATGAAGTCTTACTATTTTATTTATATATAAATCTGCAAGCCTATCAAGAGAATAAGTCATATTGATCGGTAGGAAATGTGCAGATTTCGTTAACCTATCAATGATAACCCAAATAGCATCATGCTTTCTAGAAGATCGGGGTAGTCCATGGTAATACATTCCCATTTCTATTCATGAATATCTAAAGGTTGCAACAAACCTTCAGGTCTTTGGTGTTCTGCTTTGATTTGCTGACAAGTCAAACACTTTGAAACATATATTGCAATCTCCTTCTTCATGTCTTCCCACCAATAATGACTTTGGAGATCTCTATACATCTTAGTGCTACTAGGATGCATGGTGTACTTTGAATTATGACCTTCCCTCATGATTTGATTTTTGATATCTGAGTCATTTGGAACACATATTCTATCCCCAAATCTCAATAAGCCATCCTCTGAAACTCAAAAATTCAGTTTCAATCCCTTTTCTACTTCATTCCTTAAGCAGATCAAGCTTCGATCTCGTAGTTGTCCTTCTTTAATTTGTTGAATGAGATCATATTGCACTTGGATGGAGGCCATTAATATCATTTAGTATTGCCATTTTCTCATAACATTCAAATCATAATTCTCTTCTAATAACTTTCATTGCTTCACAACTAAAGTCGCCATAAAACTTATAGATTTTCTACTAAAGGCATCTGCTACAACATTAGCTTTACCCGGGTGATAACGAATGGTACAATCATAATCCTTTAGAAGTTCTATCCATCTCCGTTGCCTCATGTTTAACTCTTTTTGAGTAAAAATATACTTTAAAAGAGTAAAAATATACTTTAAACTCTTATGATCAGTAAAGATTTCAAATGTTCGCCCATATTAGTAATGCCTCCAAATCTTTAGAGAAAAAACAATTGCTACCAATTCCAAATCATGAGTTGGATAATTCAGTTCATAACTCTTTCGTTGTCTAGAAGCATAAGCAATCACTTTCCCTTCTTGCATCAAAACACATCCAAGGCCCTTTCTTGAGGCATCAGTATAAACCATTAATCCCTCATCACCACTTGGAATAGTGAGAATAGGGGCACTAGTCAATTTCCTTTTTAACTCTTGAAAACTTTGCTCACAATCATCACCCCATACAAATTTC